TTGATATTAAGTTCGGACAGTTTTTCATAATTTTTAGAGATTTCAATATGCTAATTGGACACATTTACCATGGATGAATATTGGTATCATAAGGATGTAAAGATTGACTTGTATAGACGGAAGAAAATTGATTCGCAAAAAGGTTGGCAATATCGATCCCATTGGTAGCAGTACGATTACCAGAAGTCATTGTATTAGGTATAGTGTTATTTTCCCTTTTGCTACTTACAAATTTCCAAAAAGATTTAACATTATTAATTATAGAATGATCAGTGCGTTGGATGTAATCTGTGTAACATTGTCTGGATAAGGATTTACATCTTGATCTTTCGCTCTTGTAGATCTTGTGAGCTAATTTCTTTTCATAAAGTAGTTTCTTCAGCTCAGGGGAGTGCCAGCATGGAAATCTCCCTTCACAGATTTTTTTTGAGGAACGAAACGATCAATGATAGAATAAAGAATGTCGTAAAATATTGAAATCATATCAGAAAGCTCCTTTCCATGTAATGCACCATCCCAATCGATTGCTTCAAGGGTCGAATTTATCAATATACTGTCTGCGAGAAGAAAGTCATAGTAATATTCTTCACCAGATGAATATTCGTTTGAGATTTTGAGTGGCAAATAACATTCAAGTGGAGGATGATGCGAGTTTTCAGGAATTAAGATGTCGACAGCCTTTAGTACTGTAAGATCTACTGGTGATAAGGAGTAACTCCTCTATCGTTGAATATTTCGTTGGAAAAGCACACATGTTGGATATCGTTTCAATAGAATCTATCTCAGATTGAGTGGATAGAGGCAGAGGAGAAGCAACAGAGCAATAATCCTCTGCCTCCCATAATGCTGATGGAAGATTAAAATCGCCAATTAAAAAACTGTTTGCATTACTATATTGCTCATTCAAGGTAAATAGCTGATCAAAGTAAGATTGGTATGAAGTTGGTGAAGATTTAAGTGGGAAATGTACCGTACCAATAGTTGAATTGTTATTGAAGAGAACAAACAATTGTTCGATCGAAGGATCAGACTGAATTAGATAAACAGGAAATGATTTTTTGATAGCTATATCAGTACACCACCACCCCTGCGGAAGATACTGGATTCACTAGAGCGGTCAGTTCTATATACGTTGTAGTTGGAAAGCCCAAGTTCGGCGTCGGGGAATTCAGATGTGAGCCAGGTTTCGTTGAAGATAATGATATCATAAGAACAATTGCTTACATTTAAACTGAGGTCCGTCAGTTTAGTTCTAAGACCTCTAACATTTTGGTAATAAAGCGAAGGGCTGCTCGGTTTTAGTTTTTTATAATGATTTTTGGTATATTGTTGAAGTATTTTATAGACAAATTCTGCTCACCAGCCTGTTGACGCACTATAAGTTCATTTTTCACCGAGTCAAGTTGCTTTTTTTGATAGAAGGTTTCATCAGGTTGGAAAAATATTTTGTTAGCATGGCCTAATTTATATTTGTTTCTTAGGATTTCATGGACATCGCGAGCAGAAGACATAAAAAATTTAATTGGTCGATGACCATTTTTGTTCTTCTTCCCCAAACGTAGAATATTTGTGTCATTGACGTTTACCGCCCCTTCAGATAATATGGATTTTACTGGGTTAATATCTTCGGATGTAGTTGATAATTCCGGTAGATTAAAGATCAATAAATTGTTTGATCTTTTTTGACGTTCATGAAGCTCATTTATGATGTCATCAGTTGTTAGAAAGTAACTTTTTTCATCCTTTAATTTATGAATTTCAGCTTTGAGTGTGGTAACTTCAGACTTGAAGTTTTCAATTTCTCTTAAAATGTCTGCGAATAAAGAAGATATAGGCAAAAAAATAATTTGGATTTTTTGGTTTTCCTGTATATCTCCAGAACCAAAAAAGCTATATTCGATTTCTTTACATCATTGAATAGGTCTCTAAAATATGCAACTTTGCCATAATTTAACCGACACTCTATCTCTTATCGTTTTACGAGATCCCCATGTACAGAAACAATTTGAATAGCCCTGTATATATCCGTAAAAAAAGTACTGACTTTTTTCCCGTGCAAAAAAAGTAATTTATTATTGTGGGCGTTTCACATGGCACATGACCTCATGAGCATCGAGTGATTGCGTGCTTATTGCTCGCATCGCCGGATCTCGAATTAAATCGGTGAATGACGAGTGACGTAGTATCCGAGTCATTTCATTCAAATGATATTTCGATTTTTGGGATCACTCGAGTACTCATCATTCGATTCTCAGAATCATTCAATTATGCCCATCACTAGTAATAATATATGAAAAAAAAGTACACATAATGTTCATATGCTACAAAGCTTCCCCCCTTCAAAGTCATCACTCCTGTGATGAAACTTCCTTATATTAGAAATATGAGCTGACTCTGGTCGTCCATCATTGTCGAAATTTACGAATGCTACTATCCCATCGATGAAATAGATTCTTGTTATCTTGAATGGACCTTTCGTTATATACTCTTTTCCAATTTTCTTGTACCTTTCTAGAATGCTATCTCCTTCTTTCAGTTCAGATGGTTTCAATTTTTTTATTTTTATTGGCTTGATTTTGAACCTTCTTTTTGTATTTCATTTGTTGTTCTGGCGTTTTTGGTATTCCCTTTATTTGTAAATTCAAGCCTGATACTAATACAATATAAAACTATTGATTTGTTGTAGAGCTTATATGATGGTGAACAACATGAAAATTCAGAATGTGACATTATGATGCCATACAGCTGCCTCGAGGCATTTCTTGCAACCACTAGGAAAATCTTCATAACATTTCATTAATAACTTTAGATCTCTTGTAGCACCTTCTGCTATAGCACGTTTAATTGTTATTGTTATGAAATTCTCCAGATGTAAATACTTTTCCACAATCAGTTACTATATTTCTTATTTCATTCAAAAATGGTAGCTTAGCTGAATATTCTTTTACAGATTGACTATTTTCCCTCATAGCTTTTGCTGAGATGTACTAAATATTTAAATTTTGCTATTTGGCACATCTTACAAGTTTTTTTGTAATATTTGCTATTCTCAGTCATGTTTTTCCATATGAATCTAGCTTTCATTTTGTGATAGGTTTTATAATACCCATAATGACCTCCTGAAATAGCATTGTCGTGATACAATTTTAGAATTTTGTTTATCATCTGCTTGCTTTTAACTTGATATCTGCCATCCTCCATTTTTTCCAAATCTTGAGTAACCAAATTACTTCACTTAACGGCGAAGCTAGCAGAACCCACATTTTTTTTTTTAAACAACACATCAATAGTTGGTGATGGGGGTCATAGAAGCCTAAATCCCTCAATATATTTCCCTTTCACCCATTCAATTGAATCAAGGGGCAAAAAAACAAAAAAAAAATCAAAATCGTAATGAAGGAACCTGAAATTATTGCAAGTTTGAATTTTCCAAAAATGTGAAGTATTTTGATTTGATTCTGCCAGCTTAACAATTAAGCAAGCAGCACACATAGATTTCAAAACCACACAATACAGTACAAAATGATCCTAAAAATTAGCCTGAAACAGGGGTGATCCTAGCCAAAGGCGCTGTATTATTCAAAACATATTCATCTGCCCTCTCTTCCTCGCTGAGGACCAACTCAATTGGTGAGATAGAAAGACAGATGAAAACATTTTCAAAACAAACGCCAAAACCTATTATAATTTTGTTTTCAGTTTTCATCATGGTCTTTGTCTTAAAGTCATTGTCTCAATTTTAGTCTGTCTTGATAATTTTAAAAATTGTAATTTTATACAGCATATTTGTGATGCTAAGAATTAGGACTAGTGATATGTCATGATATACATTGTCATCAAAATTTTGTGATTCACAATTTCACAACAACACCACCAACTCCTTGAAAATACCAAAGTATTTACAGTTTAAATGCTATGTTTAAATGTCATTCTCTGTAGAAGAAATTTGAATACCTTAACACAGGAAGAGGATAAAACGTGGGTATTTTGAAATATCATGCAGGTAAAATTGGATCATTTTGTTGAATAGTGTGGGTATTGGATACATATTGTAAGTGGATATAAAAGATGGGTCAAATGGTCATTAAGTTATTCCACACCACACAATATCTTAAAATTCAATGTTGAATATGTTTTTGAAGATGTGATTATGAGGTGTATTTGATTTTGAAAATCTGGAGCCGAGCAAGCAAATGCAGATTTGATATGACGTAATCACAGAGTCAACCTTGAGAAATATATTTAAGGAACACCAGATTCTAACCGCAAATAAAAGTTAACATTTGTGTAATTATTTGTCACCACAAACATCAAACTTTACGTTTTTACATGTGAAGGTGAAATTTTTTATATACAGCAGAACTATAATTTTTAATTTTCATTTTACTATGGAAGCATTTCAGAATGACTGTTGAAGAAGGCATCATCATGTCAATGGGAATGTGTTTTGAACTCTTCTCTGAAGATAGTATGTGATGACGAATAAAAGCCTAAAAATTTCATGAAATAATTTTGTGAACAATACCTAAAACTCAATCAATTTTTGAAATGAGAAAGTGACAACAAAAAAATGTCTGATCATAACATTGATCTTGGAGCTAACTGATCGCATATTTATCCTTGCTCTTGTAAATACCCGACAGTGGTAACTGAGGTAACAGATCTGCATCTCGAACGCTTGCGAGCAAAGACAGCTAATCAAGCGCTCAGATATGTATTGAACACACCTATAATGAATAGTACAACCAGTGAATGATACTTAAAATAAGTAACTTCATTAGTTTCTTCTCTATAGTATAAATGATTTAGGCAAAAAGCTCAAAATTTGATATAGGTACTTGTTCGGTTGTATATCTTCACAAGGAAGAAATGTATGTTAACTCTCAAACCAGGCTCATGAACTCTTCGTTTTGTTGTGCTGGTAAAGGAAATCAACAAAATCATCTCTAGAATATATGAAAGATTTCTTACAAATTTGAAGGAGTGAAGTCAACACGTACCTATGACACCATAAACTATTTCCACCGGCAAGTCTAATTCATCTAATGCAGAAGTTTTTAGCACTAGGTTTTTAAGTTCCACATCACCTACAAAATTTACATTTCAGTTTTATAAAGATAAAATATAAATGAATCTTTTTTACCTCCCCATATTCCAACATTCAATTGGTTAGCGTCTAAATTTTCCACGAACGTTCCTAAATATTTATTTAGAATATAAGACAACACAGTTTGTAACACCATTTTCGCTACGATTGTACAAATACAAATTAAAATTTAAAATTAGAAATGACGTATCATATTGAAAGCTTTGTTCGTTAGTTGATCATAGCGATGTTCGGATACTTGTTTGGGATTGAAACGGAGAAAGGCTGAGAGGGCCATTTGCACCGACCTAACTCAACTTTTTCCTTAACAAAGCTCCACTTAACACCAAGTGGAACTTAAAGATAAAGTTTGTTGCACGATGCGGTTTCAAGTTGACCTCAACTAAGGTTAACATTAACGGTTGAGAGCCACTGGGATTCACTTTTAGCTAACTTCAATTAATATATTTTGTCATGTTTTTTGACAGAATGTAAGGTTACTGTTATAACGTTATGGTCGCGGCGATCCTCTCTCCAGCGTTCAGCGTTTATTTGATCTCATAGATTTTCTGAGATTGTTTGTAGTCAGATGAACCGTGTTTAGAACATGGGTAAGTATTTGAAATGCTTTTTTATTAGTCTTGACGGACACCATAATTATGTGCCTCCACAAGCGTGCAGTGTTATTTTTTAGAAAAGAAAGCCCTGTCATTAGGCATTAATAAAAACAGTCTTGATCAATAATTGAATATTTTTCATATTTTATCAGGTCCATTATAACAGACTGATTCAGTATTTTATATTTGAATTTTTCTTAAGAAAAATAAGATGTGCCTAAACTGAAACAAGGTTATATTCTATAACATTTTAATTAATGTAATTAATGTTGGTCATAATTGCAAGTCTTGTATTATGTAAGAGGGTTTCGATTTTATTTTATGGGAGTACTTGATATTTATCTACAATGAAAATAGCATTACTGTACCTATTTAATTTTTTTTTAAATTGTATTGTGATTTATGTTAGAATGATTCTAATGGAACATATGTAGTTCTGGAATCTTATTAAAATTGAAAAAATATGTCTGGGAAAATACTTTCAGTATTGCATAACGATAATGCAGAAAAATTTACAAATTTTGTGCAACATTATATACTTTCTTAGCAAAATTCATCAAAGAAGTTATTTTAATTTTCAAACTGCAGGAATTACATTGGTCCCTTTTGAAGGAATGGGTTTAAGGAAGAAACAAAATATTTTGTAAAGTTTACCGTAAATTTTAATTATAAATTGGCAAAGTAATTGTCAATTAAAGTTTGTCTGACATGAATTCCTCTTAAATTTCTTCGCCCATTAAGGCGGGGCACATCTGGAATATTCCCGTGTCTAATAAGCTGCTGAAATTCATGGACCTCAATATTATCTGGTAATGGGGGTTCTCCTTCACCCATCCTTTTTGCGATATTGTGAAGAACTCCTGTTGATATGATAACCTCTAAAGTTGTAGCAAGTTTCAACCTACAGCCATATGCTATAACAGGAAACCTTCTTTTCCAAATTCCAAAAAGTCTTTCTATTATTCCTCTTGTTCGAATGTGTGACTCATTATAAAGCTGTTCCTTTGGTAGAATAGAGTCAAGGAGAGGGGTCAATAAATATGTTTGTAATTCATAACCACTATCACCTGCAAGAAACAAGCATACATAGAAGCTAGTTAAATGTAATGTACTTATATCAATATAAATGAATACTATAATGTATTTCATTGTAATTGATGAATTCATCGGTCTGTTTTACATACCAAGAAGATAGCAATTATTTGGAATTGTATTATTGTCAAATTTTCTTTTAAGATTTGAATTATTAAAAATTGTTGTATCATAAGAAGAGCCAGGCCATTTAACTAATAAGTTAGTAAGCATATAATCTGCATTTGACACGGCTTGTACATTAATGGAGAAGTATCCTTTTCTATTTCTAAAAATTTCTGCATCTGGACCTCCTAAAATACGTACCTCATGGTAGCCGAAAGAAACGTGTAAGTTAATTAATTATTTATTTTCCTCTGAAGAAAAAAGTTACCTACCTGGAGATTCAATCTTTACATGGGTACAATCTATGACACCCACTACATTTGGGAATGATGCTATGTCATAGAATTCGTTTTTTGTTAGACTTATTTCTGCTTGGGTTTGTGGAAATTTAATAGACTGTCGAGCTAATGCCCGGGATACACGTTTTACTATTCGAGACACAGTAGAATAATGCATTCCTCCAAAATCACTTATTTGTAATAAATGGGTCCCTGTGGCATAAAAACGCAATGCGACTAAAAATGAAAAAACAGTCCAGCGATCTTTCGATAACGGTTTTTTCTACTAGTTTGTGTCTGAAAGTTACTTCTTTGCATGATCTTCATATCTTTGTATAGAGTTGATCTTTAAAATTAATTGCTTCCTTCCTTTCTTTGGAAAATTCCCACATTTTTTGTAACAACTTGGAGAAGTAGAAACCCAAACCGTTTTTTTCCAAAAATTAATCTTCCTGAAAAATATACCTTTCAATTCAAACAAGGTTCCTAAGCCTGTTGTCTATGACATAGGTGAATTCAAATCATTCCGTGACAAAAAGTTGTAATTTCATGAACCAATTGGGTGTTTTTTCTTATAATGTTATCCGTATTTTGGTACTGTAAAGCCGATGAGGCAAGTGTCTCACTGCGAAACATCGGATGTCCATCAATGGGGATGACAGTGTTCCATGTAAGTGAAATTTTACTTTTTTCATTTATTATATTGTGTAGGAATTCTGTAAATGATTTCTGATTCGGTTTAATTACGAATGTTTAGAATGCAAACGGAATAGAAAAAATGTTTTTCGTATAATTCAGCATTCATATAAAAGTATTTATTCGGAAAGTATTTTTCTTTCGTGTAATTGAATTTTCATTTGAAAATATAGCCGTTTCGGAAGGCATTTTTTCCAGTTTGAGTCTGAAAGTAACTTCTTTGCGTGATCTACACATTTTCGTATAGAGTTGATTTTTGAAATTGATTGTGTCTTCTTTTCTTTGGAAGATTCCCAATTTTTGTATCAAGATGGAGAGGAGTAGAAAGCCGAAACTTTCTTTTCCCAGATATTAGGCTGTTTCAAAAATTTTGGCCGCTTCAATTTCATGCGTTTTTGTAATTCCACATCTCAATAAATATTTATCTACAGTGTGAAAATGATCCTTTTTGGAATTGGATCGTCATGTGTGATGAAAAGTGGATTATGTACGACAACATATTAGACATTCATAACAGTGATTGGGCACCAATGAATCACCCAGGAACTTTCCAAAGGCGAAAACCCACCAAAAAGGTCACTAACTCAATTCATTGTCACAATTCTAATTTCTATTAGAAATGAATATTTTGAATGAATGAATTCTTTAAATGATCAGTGGTTAAAAGTTTTGGGAAAACGAATATTTATATAACTTTTCAATCGGAATATGCATCATCATTCCATATTCATTAACCAATTCTTCTGCTAATATATTAGGAACTTGCGGACCTGACGAACGTCGTTCCATTGACTAACAGTCAATAAATGAGTAGACTTAGGATTTTAAAATTGATACAAAATTATTAAGTATAATAAAATAAACGATATTGGCATATAATAAAATGAATGGGAATGTTTTGCCTCTTTGATCATTATTATTTTTATTGATAAAATATCATATTTTCATAAGTTTCATCATATACCCGATAAAGACAAATTCAAAAACACAAAGATTATAAAAACTGGTCCAGTCGTTCTTGAGTTCTTTGATGATTATTATTATTATTATTTTCATTGATGAAATATCATATTTCAATACTCATCATCCCATTCCCGACGAAGACAAATAAAATATCATATTTCAATCATTATTATTGTTTGGGCAATCTTCTTATTTTTGGCAAAATAAGATTTTATTTGACTTTTTGCTTTTTATTCAAAACCAAAAACAACAATAATATTGGTAGGTAACTATATAAAACAATAAACAATGCCAACTTCAATACTAGATGTGAAATTAATTCACAACATCTTCCAGGGCTCGCAAATTACTCCTTTGGCTTCAACAAAATGATTTTTGTGATGGGATGACGATAAACTCCTGTTGCTGTAATCACTTCGACTACCCGTACTCTGCCATCAGGACCATGAAAAATTCGCGTAACTTTTCCTCTTGGCCATGAGTTTCTGGGAAAACTTTCATCCGCAATAACGACGATGTCTCCTTCTGCAACATCACTGCTATTGAACTGCCACTTGCTTCTCTTTATCAGCGAGGGTACATATTCCCGTATCCACCGTTTCCAGAATAGGTCAGCGTATCTTTGTGCCACTCGCCATTGTTTTGTGAGATGTGAATTTGTATAAGCAGAAATACCCAGTGAATTCACTTCATTTGACTTTCCAATAAAGAAGTGGTTGGGTGTTAAAGCTTACGCATCTTGATGATCAGAAGACATATAAGTTAAGAAATGACTGTTCACTGTAGAGGTGCTCAATTTCAATTATAAGAGTATGCAAAATCTCTTCTTTTGGGTTCTGTGTAAAAATTACTTTTAAGGCAATTTTAACAGATTTAATCATTCTTTCTCATATTCCTCCCATATGACTTGCTGCTGGTGGATTCGGTTTGAATCTAGATCTTTGATGGCTAGTTTCATTTCTTTATCTACTCCGCAGAGGTTTGATCCATTATCAAAGTGTATTTCTGATGAATTACCTCCTCTACAAATGAATCTATGAATTGACATGATGGCAGAATCCGTAGTAAGGGAAGAAGCCAGTTCTAGGTAAATTCCCTTCGTTGACATATAGGTGAAGATAACCCCATGTACTTCTTTTCCTTCCTTCTACCAATTGTGACTGTCATTGGGCCAAAATAATACATGCTTGTAATCATGCAAGTATGGTCTGCATTGTTGTACTGTCCTAAAGTTTGGAATTAGTCCCATCTGCTGAGTTTCAACCCTGGCATTTTTCTTCTTACATATAATGCAGGATGATATACAAGCTTTTACTGCTGATCTCATGTTGATTATCCAAAATCTTTCCCTTAAATGTTTTATGATTTGTTCTCTTCCCTGATGATTCAGTTTATGATAATGTCTTATCAACAACATGGTCATCCAGTTTCTTGAATCCAGAACAACTGGCTGTCTCATATTGATATCTATATGTTGTGCTTCATCCAATCGTCCATTTAGTCTCAAAATACTGTCTTTTCAAATTCTCCAACCGTTAGAAAATCTGAAAAGTTGGTAGACCAATTTTCTTCTTTCATGAGATGAATGAATCTCATCACCGAAGCGACCGATCTGACAAGAATAAATAATTCGAAAATCTTGAAAAATTGATAACTTCTTCACGTCTTGTTGATAACAAAAACAAAATTTTTCTTTTTTTTTTTTCTACTTCTGTACCATCTTTTATCTTTTCTTCAGCATGAGGCCATTTAATCTCCTCTATAGTCAAGAACTGAGGACCTTCAAACCAATTCTGAAAGTTATCAATGTTCCATCTGCTACATTGAACTTTGTGGGTAGCCAATACCATTCATCATGATTTATTATATCATTAGAAATTTCTCCAATTCTGTTGGCAACAAAAGTCTTATAGTTCCTTGGATGCAACTTAATCCATCTCAAAACTATTTCAGTTCAGTTTTTAGTTTTCGATAGTTTTAGCCAATCTTGATCCAAGAAGAGCTGCTTGAAGTTCAATTCTGGGTACTGTCATGGGTTTTAAGGAAGTGCATACGTCATTGGCCAAACTAAAGAAAAATACATTTCATTTTTGAAACGTTTATTAATGGATAAATTTGAAGATGGAGACGGTAAATAGGATAGGATCCAAGTTCGTGAAAAGGAATCTAACTGCTCTTTGGCTCCTAATTCAAATATGTTCATGAACAGATTGGTTATAAAGGGAGAGAGTGTATTTCCTATTGCCGTGTCTTCGTGCTCTCTGTAGAAAGGGTTGAGTTACTGGAAACAATTCTATTTTGTGGCAATTATTCCAATGTCTGTTAGTCGTATGTAGTCTTAGATTTCTTTTCCCCTGAAACCATTGACCTCCAGAAGATCTCTCAAATATTATTCGAGTTTTTGGTATGGGGACATTTCGAAACAATGAGGGTACATCAAATAATACTTAAATCTCTTCATCTCGCAACATTACATCCTCAATTTCATCTAAGAATTTATGTGAGTTACCGAAACTTTGATTCAGTTGTGAGATTGAGAGAGTATTAAACTGTTTGGATAACTTACGGCGGAGGCAATTGGTCGCACCGACTTGCCAGATTTGTGAATTTTAGATAGACCGTATATTCTAGGAACTGCAGGATTAGTAATCTGTACACTTCTGTTCAAAGTCACTGCAATCAAATTCCGACACTTTTTGAGTGTGTTTTTCACTTCTGAAACCATCCTAGGCATTGGGCTCCTTGGTAATTTATTACAGGAACCGTTTCTAATTAAATTATCTTTTCTCTAATAACGATCTGACTTGTCCAATATCATAACCTGATTGCCTTTATCTGCTTCCAGATAGAAAACATTTCTCTTTTAATCATTTAATAATCTCTTTTCCTCTCTATTTCTAACCGAAATCAATTTTAGTGGTAAGAGGTAATTTAAGAGATAAGAATTAGTAAACTTCACCTCCCAAAGACGACAACTTGGTTGATGAAACGCACGTGTTTGGGAACAGGTTTTATTTTGAGTATTCAATACATTCCACATGAGTATTGGTAATATATATGCCCCCTCCCGGGTTGAGTGCCCTGAGTTGAAATCTTCTCCACACGGTTCATATGTGCAGAACATCCCATCTCGTCCATCCACCCCCACTCCTCAAGCGCTCCTTAACTTACTGATAGGCACTTCAGCAAGATTGACATCTGACCTTCTTTGGTCGAAAGTCAGCCTCTAGGTGCTTTTACTTTCTGATCTGTTGAATTGTTTTATCATGACTTTCCTAACTGAGTTATTGGATGGGGTTCCCAAAAACTAACCGGAGACGAGTGTGGTGGTTCTCAGTGAATCTGAAAATGATATCAATTTGATGCCTGGTTAGGAAACTTTTATACTTACCGGAGCCGCCTGACAGCGACTCTCGGGGGTGGTCTTTGGTTCTGCTTCATTGGCCTCCTGTGTTTGTTCCTCACGGAATTTGGGGTCATCCCTATTCAGTGCGTTATGTAGGTCGCTTGGCGCTGGATTGCCGTGCGCTCGGATTCTGTCAAAAGTGTCCTCTGCGTATTTCCTCATGTATGCGTCTACGTAGTGTATCTAGATCCCGGAATATGT